GATTGTTAGCTTATTAAGCTGGTGCAGAGCTACTACATGGCACCTCCTGGATTAGTGTTCTTTCACCTTGTAGTTAGGTGGTTAAGCTCATGTGGCTTCTATTATAACTTTCAGAACTGTTACAACTCAGTTCAGCTAGCTGGTTTAGATTGTAGCTTAGTTTGCAAGCTGAGTGTATGCTTATAAATACAAATTCAGTTATTCAGATCTGTATGTTAATCAGTATAAAAAACTCTCAAGTTTCATTTTCTCTCCCTTTTTGATCTCTTTGTGTCTCTTCCTTTACTTGTTGTCCCAAATATCTAAATTTGACAGTTTTAACAAGTTTGCATCTTGGGAGCTTTGCATTTCTTGGAAATGACAATAACCTAGTGGAGCCCTTTTCTTTATGTATTAAGCTGAAGACTTTGGTCATTGTCCATTGATTTAGGGGGGTGGTCACATATCCTTTGCATTTCCAATGCCATGCTTGCCAATTTGACCATACATGCATCCCCCGTTTATCAGAAAGATTTTTTTTTACAAAGTAATGCTATTTACTCGAATCTTTGTTCTTTGATTTTTTGGATGTTCCTGCTCTGCAAGCAATCTATCTTTCCATAAAGAAGTAAATATCAATGTTGATGACAGGGCATGTTGCTTGCAGTCAACTTCTGTCGTAATTAGCTGCCTGCAAGTGCTTGCTAATGTAAGATCATTGATACTCTCTCTGAGTACTCTTCAGGTGTCTTCGTTTAAAAGGTTTTAAGCGTATAATTGTCGTTCTTGCTTAGATGCATTTTTGTGCCAAATTGTTTACCACAGCTCAATTTTGATTAAAAATATAAAATTCTCAAGTTAACGTCTCTAATTGATGCCTCGTTGCGTAGGTTCTCTCCTTAGTCACAGATTTACTGAATATTGAACCCCCTTGCTTGGGTAATTTGAAGTCATTGATAGTGAAAGCGAAACCTCTATCTCCCAAGCCAAGAAAAGCTGCCAAGTCAAGGAAAACAGAATTCAACACTTGTAACTTATGGAGTAGTGGATTACTTGGTTCGAAACTCCCCTTTGGGGGGTGAGGTTACAAACTTACAATCGTAAATTGTAAAGGTGCTATGCACATTTAAGTTTGACTCTTTAAAATAAGAGTTTTATAAAAGTTATGTTGTAGGAAAATTAAACTTGTTATGTTGTAGAGATTAGTTTTCTGTGCCTTAGATTTTTTTATTTATTTTTTTGCTTCAAAAAATGTGAGCCCCACAAAATGTTATATGTGTAGGAAACTTTGTGGTTATCATGTGACATGATGGATGCAAACCCCTTAAAATAAAGATTCATATTATTGTTATTTTTTTCTTGCTTTCTCTGTTTCACTTTTCCTCACCCTATGTTTTAGTTGTTACAATCAATGGGTGAATTATCATTTTGTTTGCAATATTAGCTTATTAAAATACTTGTGAATTTAAGAACGCAGACTATTAACGTTGGCTGTCTGAATTATACCTCAACTTCTCTTAGACTCTGACTAACATGTAATTTAAGCTTAACTTATGCTTTCTAGCAAGACTAGGAAATACTGTTCCTTATATTAGTTTATTCACTTCAAAAGGGATCTATAGGTTGCTGGAACAAATCTTAATATTGATGTTAATGAAGACTGATGGGCAGAAGCAAAAAAAATAATAGTTAGATTTGAAGAAACACAGTACATGGATTGTTCTTTATACAATGAAGTTAGGCATCATCTTGAAATGAAACAATTAATGGCGTGCATGTTGAATATTGACTTTTTAATTTGGGTGCATCCTTATGTAGTTTAGATTCGTGGGGGGTTTGTTTCATATTTAACCTTCCAGCTTGGGTGCATCTCACTGCTGATTTGGGATGCTTGGGGAGTTATACTTAATATATGCACGGCATATTTTCTTATAATACATGTGATTGAATACAAAATTAATGCTAGTGGGCACTTAAAATTTAGTTAACGTGATATGCATACTTGGTAAATAGTTTCTGAGTGGGTTGGTTTGTTCCCATTAGTCATAAATTCATAATGCTTGCATTCCATGCCTTAAACTGCATTTATGTATTCACTCTCCCGAGTTTCATTAGACATACTTAATGATATTGTTTTTGGTTAAGGATTTTTCATTGGGAGGTGTTTACTTGGTTGATGAATATCAAATTTAAATTTAATATGAAATAAAATTTTCATTTTTTAAAATGTTGCATGACTTTAATGGAGGTCTATTGATTTTTAGGTTCCTTTATTTCCGTCTAGTGATTTTTTTGTAAGTGATTTATTTTAACTCTTCTATGATTTTCTTGAATTGCACCTTACTGCAGCCATCGACGTTAATGTTGGTGAAGTTTACATGTCATTTTGAGGACATAAGTGGTGAATATTTGACTGGGGCAGTATTTGGCCGGTGAAATGGGGGTCAGTGTGATTGTCCGAACTGATTGGTTTGCTATGTTTTTTTTGAGATATAAGATTTTGGCTTAATTTGTTTGAATTAGACTAGAAGCTAGTTGAAATATTGGGTGGTGATCTGGGCAGCACTTTGTATGTTGTATTATATGCTTTTTGGATTTTAAAGATACTAAATGCTTCTACTTTTCATTTTATAGTTTCTATTTTAATTCCTTACCAGAGTCCTAAAGGCCCACATAAGCAAGACCCGTATAATTTGAGTATAAATTTCAGCCTAAACAGATGTGGATTGGCCACCCTTGCTTCATTTTTTTTCTTTGTTTTTGATTTTCTTTAAGGGGAATGCTTTTTCCTACAAATTCCTTATGGCTTAATGCTTTTATCAGAATTTTGGAAAATAAATTACATGTGCGGTGTCCATGCTTTAAACTTTTAGAGCCTGTTTGGAGCACCTGATAAAGAAGATAGGATGAGATAATTTATCATATCCTACTTTTATCTCTTGTTTGGTGGTCAATAGGATATGATTAGCTTATCCTATTGTCTCATTTTATCCTATCAATTACATGATTTCTTATCCTATGGAGGGAGCTGGGTTAAGATTCAATAAAATAAGATACCAAAATTGGATACCCAATATATCTCCACGTTATCTCCCTTCCAAACCCACTCCTCCCTCTTGACCATCTCCCTCTTCCTCGTTCTTGTCGAAGCAGGGTGGAGAGTTAGACCCGTTGTTCTTATGTTCCAGATGGTCCATGTTTAATCCTTATCCTCTTCATCCCCCTCTCCTTTTCCCCTTATTTTCTTTTATCTTATTTCCCATTTCCCTTATTTTTTTTGTTTAAAAAATCTCGTTGTATTTATCATTGGATTCATCTACCATCGATCTCAATTAATTTGGGTTAAAGATGATGTTGTAAGTCTTATTAAACAAGTTTTATTTTTTATCAAACAGGCACTAAATTACGTGTACTATCCATGCTTGAAACCATGAGCGTTAGGAGGTGTATCGTATATATAAATACATTGTTGGGTGATCTTTTAACTACCTTTTCCAAGAGAGTCCAGTTGGAAACGTGATGCTGGAAATAGAATACACAAACCCAAACTCGCTGAACATGACACTCTCTGCTACGGAAAGTATTGTTCTCTGTGATATCAGTCAAACATAAAATGAAAAAACAGAGATATGTTAGACTGTTCAAGAGGCTTGTTTTCTCCTTCCCAAACTGGCCTCCTTTTCCCCTGTCTCTCTCTTTTTTTCTTTCTTATTCTACTCATCAACCAAAATTCCTATTTGTCTCCCCTCCAATGTGTGCATGTTTGTGTTACTAGCCAATCCCCGAAGTTGATCCTCCCTCTTATTCCCCTCATTGCGCATGTCTGGAACTCACAAGTAAAGAACAATAGTGCTGAGGGCTGATTGGCTAGCTAAGCATGCCCTTAAAATGTCACAATGCTACAAATTGTTTACCTCGATTCCTTTAGAATTAGCTCCTGTTGCGTGTGATTTGGGGTGGGTTCCTCTCGCCCCGTTTCTTTGTTTTGGCCTTTGTTCTTAAATACAAAAAAAGAAAAGAAGAAGACAAATATACAAGTTTAGAATATAATTTGTCAATACAAGACTAGAAAACCGGCTAAAACAGGGATAGGGAAAGACATATATCCTTTGGCAATTAGTTAGATGTCATGTAAAAACAGAACCATTAGAGTTAAACAATTAAAGAATGCTTTTGTACTTATTAATGGGGAAGCATATATCATTCACCATCTTATCAAAAAGTTTAAAAATTGTGTGAACCACATTTATATCATATGTATATTATAAAGGACCCCAGTTAGTGAGACAGGGAAACAAATCATACAAAGCTAGTGGTTTGAACAATGTCTACTAATAAATTTATGGGTTTGTTTTTTTTACTGTCAATGTAGGTAAAGTATCTACATTAAACACAAAACGTTATCGTTTTGAAACAAAAATTAAAGTATTTTTATAATATAATTTATTTCAGGATTATAACAGTCTTTTTTCATTATAATTTTTTAAGCTTTCAACTTAAAACAACATTATTTTAGAAGTAAATGTAAATAATTTATTTTCATTTACTGTAAATATATTAGTCTAATTTTATATTTTAAAAGTGTTTATTAATTTTAAAATTCAAATAATCTTTTTACTTAATGTAATTCATCTAAATGTAAAATAATTTTAACTTTTGAAAAAAAACTTTCTACCAAAGGCAAGGCATAAAAAGTGTTTTTTTCTAAAGCTCTTCCAAAGTAGTTTTAAAAGTATTTATATTTCTTATGCTTTTTACAAATTATTATAGTTAAAACCACTAAACAAAAGATCAACTGGCAATTATTTCAGTATAAGTAATAGTTTGTAGGTTAATATGATGACCATGTTGAAAGAAATAAAAGAGAATAATAACAATGTCAATAGTTCATTCGCAATATTTTATTATTGTTATAATATTCATTACATATTTTTATAAAAATATAAAAATCAAACTTTCATTCGCTTCATTACTTAAGAGGAACAAATAAATCGACGGAGGTATTGATTAACACACACTTTTTTCCTTTTTTATTTTATTTTTTGAAAATATCAGAATGATATTTTAACCGCGTGAGTGGAACAAGATTTCCACTTCTTTCAGCCAGAAAACAAAATTAGGTTTTGGAGGTCATTCGCTCGGTTTAGACCGACACAAGGTAGGTAGATTCTATTTCTACTTCCATTTTGATTTGATAAATTAGGGTTTCGATTCTTAGGTTTTTCACTTTCCGTGTAGATTTGTTAATCTCAAATGCTTGTTCGTAGTAGTGAGATGGGAGTGTTAGAGAACGAAGGTGAAGAACCCAACATGAAGAGAGCAAATCCGAGTGAGAACAATGAAGACAGGCTCAGTGATTTGCCTGATTGCGTTCTTATTTACTTAATGTCGTTTCTGCCAACCAAAGTAGCTATTCAAACTTGCATCTTGTCGAAGAGATGGAAGGATCTCTGGAAACGTCTTCCTACACTTATATTAGATGACGTGCAGTTTTCATCAATGACCTTTTTCACCAAATTTGTGCCTAAGGTTCTGTCTTTTCGTGATGACTCTGTTCCACTCCACCATCTTGAATTCAATTATAATGGCCGTGTTCGTCCCCATCTTCTGAAAAGGGTTCTGAGATATGCTTTATCTTATGATATCCAGCAGTTAAAACTCACTTATAATTGTGATCTTGATTTGCCACCTTCCTTGTTTTTGTGTCAGACTTTAACATCTCTTGATCTCACAGTTTTTCACAGATCTCAGTCATTTCCCAAATCTCTAAATCTGACAGCTTTAACAAGTTTGCGGCTTTATAACTTCACCTTTGGTGACAGTGAATTGGTGGAGCCATTTTCGTCATGCATTAAGTTGAAGACTTTGGTTATTCACAGTTGTGCTATACGGGATACCCAAACCCTATGCATTTCAAATGCTACACTTGTCAATTTGACCATAGATGATTACCAAGCTTACAAAATTGTGCTATCAACTCCCAAGCTTTGTTCTTTTGCTTTCTCGGGTGTTCCCATTCAGCATATCTCTGCAAGCAATCTTTCTTCTATTAAAGAAGTAAATATTGATGCTGATGAATGGGTGACATTGGGTCACTCGCAATCAGGTTTTATCCTATTTAGCTGGCTGCAACTATTTGCTAACATGAGATCATTGACACTCTGTTCAAGTACTCTTCGGGTATCTTCATTTCGTTATAAGCAATTATTTCTTGTTTTTCCATTAGGATGCATTTTTGAGCCAAAATTTTTGCCAGACCTCAAGTATTCTTGTAATTTTAAAGATTCTTATGTTAATATATCTAATTGAACTCTCATTGCATAGGTTCTATACTCAATCCCAGATTTGTTGAATACTGAAGCCCCTTGCTTGGGTAACTTGAAGTCATTGGTAGTGAAAGTGAAAGACATATTGCCTCCATGTCAAAGGCGAGGAAGATTTTACAAATCAAAGAAAGCAGAATTGAAACCTGTACCTGACGAAGTAGTGGATTACTTGATTCTAAACTCCCCATTTGCGAAGATTACTATCCTAAATTGCTGAAGGTGATACGCACATTTAAATCTTTGAATAGGTCTTCATATCTTTCCTTTTTTCTCTGTTTCTACTCCAACCGCCGCCCCCCCCAAAAAAAAAAAAAAAAAACACACACACACACATGACACAACCCCCCCTAAATCTTGTTAGTTATTGCAACAAATTATGGATTTGTTTATCGTGATATTTGCCTACGAAAATAGTAGAAAATTTAAGAAAACATCTCTGCAAAAAAATGATTTCCAGAAAACTACCTGTTGACTTTTTTGATGCCTATATTGGAGTAAAAATAATTCCCTTGTAATATTTTTAGATTGTTAGCTTATTAAGCTGGTGCGGAGCTACTATACGACCTCCTGGATTAGTGTTCTTTCACCTCGTAGTTAGGTGGTTAAGCCCATGTGGCTTCTATTTTAACTTTCAGAACAGTTACAACTGAGTTTAGCTAGCTGGTTTAGATTGTAGCTTAGTTTGCAATCTGAGTGTATGCCTAGAAATACAAATTCAGTTATTCATATCTGTATGTTAATCAGTATAAAAAACTCTCAAGTTTCATTTTCTATCCCTTTTCGATCTCTCCGTGTCTCTTCCTTTACTTGTTGTCCCAAATCTCTAAATTTGACGGTTTAGCAAGTTTGCATCTTGAGAGCTTTGCATTTCTTGGAAATGACAATAACCTAGTGGAGCCCTTTTCTTTATGTATTAAGCTGAAGACTTTGGTCATTGTCCATTGATTTAGGGGGGTGGTCACATGTCCTTTGCATTTCCAATGCCATGCTTGCCAATTTGACCATACATGCATCCCCCGTTTATCAGAAAGATTTTTTTTTTTACAAAGTAATGCTATTTACTCGAATCTTTGTTCTTTGATTTTTTGGATGTTCCTGCTCTGCAAGCAATCTATCTTTCCATAAAGAAGTAAATATCAATGTTGATGACAGGGCATGTTGCTTGCAGTCAACTTCCGTTGTAATTAGCTGCCTGCAAGTGCTTGCTAATGTAAGATCATTGACGCTCTCTCCATGTAATCTTCAGGTGTCTTCGTTAAAAGGTTTTAAGCGTATAATTGTCGTTCTCGCTTAGATGCATTTTTGTGCCAAATTGTTTACAGCTCAATTTTGATTAAAAATACAAAATTCTCGAGTTAACATCTCTAATTGATGCCTCGTTGCGTAGGTTCTCTCCTTAGTCACAGATTTACTGAATATTGAACCCCCTTGCTTGGGTAATTTGAAGTCATTGATAGTGAAAGTGAAACCTCTATCTCCCAAGCCAAGAAAAGCTGCCAAGTCAAGGAAAGCAGAATTCAACACTTGTAACTGATGGAGTAGTGGACTACTTGGTTCGAAACTCCCCTTTGGGTGAGGTTACAAACTTACAATCGTAAATTGTAAAGGTGCTATGCACATTTAAGTTTGACTTTTAAAATAAAGATTCATATTATTGTTATTTTTTTCTTGCTTTCTCTGTTTCACTTTTCCTCACCGTATGTTTTAGTTGTTACAATCAATGGTGAATTATCATTTTGTTTGCAATATTAGCTTATTAAAATACTTGTGAATTTAAGAAAGCATACTATTAACGGTGGCTGTCTGAATCGATGTTATTAAAATCAACCTGGTCGTTGACCCGATTTAGGTACTGGGTTGGTTTAACTGCATGATCCGATAATTATATGTAATTTTATAATTTATATTAAACAATTATAAACATACTCAAATATTTAAAAAAAATGATAAAAATTTCAAATATTTTAATAAAAAAATAATAATTCACATTTTGTTATCCAATAAAAGATCAAACAAAAATATAATGATCGTGATATGGGGCTTTAGGTTCAGAAAATGACATCTCTATTATAAATCAAATTAAATATTTTTGCATAGTGTATAATTGAGATAATATTAGTGTTGTAGCTAGATAACTTATGTGAGTCAATAAACAAAAAAATATTCAAATATATCCATTATGATTTTTGTTTTTTGAAAAAAAATTTGATTTTTTTTTTTGGACCGAGCCAGGTCACCGGTTAACCGACCAAGTCACCGGTTTTAATGAAAACTGGTCGGGTCGGATTGGGTCGCACCGGTTCTGATCCATGACCGGTTCATTGCTTCAACTGGACCGGTTATATGACCGGTTTACCGGATCGGTCCGGGTTTCTTAACACTGGTCTGAATTATACCTCAGCTTCTGTGAGACTCTTACTAACATGTAATTTCAGCTTAACTTATGCTTTCTAGCAAGACTAGGAAATACCGTTCCTTTTATTAGTTTATTCGCTTCAAAAGGAATCTATAGGTTCCTGGAACAAATCTTAATATTGATGTTAATGAAGACCTATGTAGCACTGATACCGACACAGGACACGATACGATACGACACGTTAATTCTAAAAATTATTAGATTTTGACACGTTAGGACACGTTTTGATATTGAATAACATTTTTAATTTATGTAGCGTATTTTATATTTAATATTCAATAATTTAACATAAAAATAAAGCTAATCTTATAATACCCATTAATTTTGCAAAGAAACATAAGATATCACAAATATTTATATTAAATTCAATAAAATGGTAATAGTAATCCAACGAATCTAATAGTTAGAACTAAAAACGCAACGCAACCTTTTTAATCTTTTTTTGAGTTTTTACAACTCGCATTGAAGTGTCGGGGAGTGTTGGAGTGTCAAAGAGTGTCGGGAAGTGTCGTACACAACACGTCGGAGTTTTTGAAGTGTCGATGCTTACTAATGGGCAGAAGCAAAAGAAATAATAGTTAGATTTGAAGAAACACAGTACATGGATTGTTCTTTTTACAATGAAGTTAGGCATCATCTTGAAATGAAACAATTAATGGCGTGCATGTTGAATTACCTTTCCACTTGATTATATGATTTGGCGAGCCAATAAGCAATTGCCAATGGAAAATGTTGAAATAAGAGCTAATAGTAGCTTGCCTTCCATTTGTATTTCAGTATTCATTTTGTTATTTTATATAGCAGTACTTTGTATATTGTATCAAAGCCTCTTACGTTAAGTTGTTAGGAGTTTAATACTTATTGACCACATTCTTCATGTTCAACAATTAAAATTTACATGTTAAGGCATGTTGCTTGGTCAGTTTCCCTCCTAATTAGCATGCTTACTAATGTAAGATCATTGACGCTCTCTTCATGTACTGTTTAGGTATCTTTGTTTAAAAAGTTTTAAGCGCATAATTCTCATTTTCACTTATGCATTTTTGTTCCAAATTGTTTACCACAGCTCAATTTTGATTAAAAAAATTCTCAAGTTAATGTCTGTAATTGATGCCTCTTTGCGTAGGTTCTCTTCTTGATCCTGGTTTTATTGAATATTGAACCCCCTTGCTTGGGCCCTTAACTTAAGTCATTGATAGGTGACGTAAAACCTCTATTCCCCAAGCCAAGAAAAGCTGCGAAGTTAAGGAAAGCAGAATTCAAACTGTCTTCATCTGTGAGTAGTGGACTACAGGGTTCGAAACTCCCCTTTTGGTGAGGTTACAAACTTACAGTCATAAATTGTAAAGGTGCTATGCACATTTAGGTTTTACTTTTTAAATAAAGATTCAAATTTTTTTTTCTTGCTTTCTGTGTTTCACTTTTCCTCCCCCTATGCTGTTAGTTGTTACAATCTATGGATAAGTTATCAATTTGTTTGCAATATTAGCTTATCAAAATACTTGTTAATTTAAGAAAGCATATTAACTGTGACTGTCTGAAACATGCCTCAACTTTTTGACCGATATGTAATTTCAGCATGAATTATGATCTCTAGCTAGACTAGGAAATACTGTTGTTTATATTAATTTATTCACTTCAAAAGCAATCTATGGGTTGCTGGAACAAATATTAATATTGATGCTAATGAAGGCTGATGGGCAAAAGCAAAAGAAAGAATAGTTAGATTTGATGAAACATAGTACATGGATTGTTCTTTATTATACAATGAAATTAGGCATCGTCTTGAAATGAAACATTAATGGTATTGGTGTGCATGTTGAATTAACTTTCCAATTGATTATATGATTTTGCTAGCCAATAACCTTTGAGAAGTTGAAAGTGAGTGGTGGAATGGAGATAAAGAATCTCTAGTGTGGAGAGGATATTGAAACCTCGTACCAATCTTAAACTTTCATTTTCAAGAATGACACTTCTCTACGAATTTATATCTAAGGTTATGTTTTTATGTGATGACTCTATAATTCTATTTCGGTCCGCCATCTTGACTTTAAATATGATGGTCCTGTTTCTCCCTAACTTCTAAAACTGATTTTGAGATATGTTGCGTCGCATAATGTCCGACAATTAAAATTCTCTGTTAATTGCGATCTTAATTTGACAACTTTTATTTTGTCAGACTTGAACATCTCTTAATCTTTTGTTTTACAACAGATTTAACTCATTTATGAAATGAGCATATTAATTCTTAAATAAAAATTGTACCGTTTGGAATCTATAAGCCCACTATGTTTCCTTTAGGGATGAGTCAATGTATGGATGATACCCTTAGCACAGGTACAGACCAAGCTAAGGGGTATAGTGCCAAGTACAAGCAAAGTAATCAATGGATAAGCTAGGGAGATAAAATGACTCTAAGGAAATGGACAGTATAACGATACATAAGATGCTCTTGGGGGTGCCCCTGGGGAGCTATTTATAAGGGAAGATTGTGCTTACCGGGTGAAGGTTGGTGGGGAGAAGGTCAACTTTCCTTGGAACCATATGCCGATGGCAGTGTTGGGCGTGACAGGCGCTGCCATCGTAGCAGCGTTGTGCCTTCTGCGTCTGGCGATGTCAGCATTGGTCCCAGGGAGACAGTTTCCTCTTAAGGCATTTGAGCGACCTCTTTCGGGAGTTGAGGTCCCTATGTGAGATACTTTGGTGTTTAGCCTTGGGAAGTTACCACATTGGAGGGTACGCGTCGCCCCAGCTGGTAGGGCTGACGTAGGTGCTTGGTAGGTGTTGGGCCTTGACTATTGGGCCTGACTCTTGTTGGGCCATCCAGAACAAGAATGATAATAATTCACTTAAAACTTCTTCAACAATACTCGAAGGGACCATCAATTATCTTACACTAGCAAGCATTTGCAGCCAGCTAATTAGGACGAAATCAATTACAAGCAACATATCTTATCATCAACATTTGAGAAGGGTGATAAGGAGTTGTTTTTAATTAAATGCTATTGCAAGTGTATCTTCTTCGGTATTATTTTTCATGATCAGAGAGACAAATATGATAACATAAAATAGTAAAAAAATGATAAGATAAAAGAGTGAAAAAAATCATAATCGTTATTTCAATTATTAATTGGGAAAAAGTTCAAAATCCGTCTCGTGGTTTCTTTTTGAATCATTTACCATGTTTTTTTTTTATTTATCTTTTTTCCCAATATGATTTTTTCTATCGAAATTCTTAACACTATTAGAAATTTGATAATTTTGTTAATTCTATCTTTTATATCATCTTGTTTCTCAAGCTTTATAAGGGTTTTTAACAATACAATCAAATTTTCTTTCGTTATCCAGATTATAAAAAAAAATTGAAGTATCAAATGACTGATGTTAGGAACATAAAAAACAGTTTCAATAAGATTTTAATCAAAGTTATTTTTATTAAAAATTAAATTTACAAAAAGAGCCAAATGTCAAAAGCAAGAAGAGTAAACTAAATGATGGTAGCTCATTTGGCTCATGAGAGCTGAACAGGTGGGGGTGATAGTATGCGTTCGATTTTTTTTAGTATCATTTTTGAAAGGAATTTAAAATCTTAATCCTGAACCCACCCCAAACAGGATTACCTCCCTGAAGAGTACATATTATTTATCCAAAATAAATAAATAAATACAATATAAAACAAGTTTCCTTTGTGCTGAATTATTAAACCATATAAATAAGAGTAAGAGAGTCACACGTAATGATCGCATCTAAAGGTACAATGAGTTGATATCACATAACTGAAAGTGAGCACAAAACCTATCTCAATACAAAGTGCTCTTACTGTCTTTTAACCTTTAAAAAAAAGTAACCTCAACTTTAAAAATAAATTATTTTTAAGACAAAAAACTAAAGAGCTTTTTTGCTTGACCATTGTCTGATTACAAAATAATATATGGGATAAATTCCTCAAGAAATTTGTAGTTTTGGCTTCTGGTGTTTGGCATTTGGATCTTTTTTTAAATTTTATTTTAATATAAATATTTTGAGTTAAAATCTCATTACAAATGAACGAGTGTAGCTCAGTTGCCGATATAGGCAGAGTAAGTGAGGAGAAAATTTGGATTCGATTCCCACCAAATACATCTTTAGGGAGGGATGAATAACTTTAAATGTGACTAAGTCCTGACTCGAGATTATTCTTATAGTCGACTCAAAGAATTGAGACTTGTGGGGATACTCGAGGAGCCGACTCACCTCGCAGAGATAATTAAGGTTGGTATAAAAAAAATCTCATTGCAACTGTTTTTTATGTTCTTATTACTACTTATGTGGAACTTCACAAAATCTTTAAGAAACTAGATAATGAAAGAAAATTTGGTTGTATTGTTAGAAACCCTTGCAAAACCTGATGATCAAGATCTACGAAGCACCGACGCTTCAAAAATTTTGACGTGTTGTGTCCGACACTCACCGACACTTCAATACTCGTTGCAAAGACTCAAAAAAGGTTTAAAGATTACATTGCGTTGCATTTTGAGTTCTCGTTAGATTAAGATTACAATTACGATTTTATTGAGTTTAATACAAACATTTGGGATATATTATGTTTCTTTGCAAAATGGATGGATATTATAAGTTTAGCTTTATTTTTTTGTTAAATTATTGAATACTAAATATAATATACACTAAATAAATTAAAAATATTATATAATATCAAAATGTGTCCTAACGTATCAAAATTTAATATTTTATAGAATTAATGTGTCGAATTGTCGTGTCGTGTCGTATCCCGTGTCCCGTGTCGGTGTCGGTACAACATAGATCAAGATAATATAAAGTGTATAATAGACAAATTTATATCCAATCTCTAACAATGTTAAGTAAGGATTTAAATGGAAAAAAACCATAAGGGTGCAAATGATTTAAATATATATATATATATATATATATATATATATATATATATATATATATATATATATATATATAAATGATTCGATGACGGATTGTAGGGGAGCTTTTTTACCTTTTCCCATATTAATTTGGGGAAAATACAATAAAATGTAGAATCAAAGTTATTAGATTATGTTATAAAGATTGTGGGACCATACTTGTTTTCAAAAAAATAAAATAAATAAATAAACAAGTGCGGGTCTCAAAATCTTTATCTATATAACATAACTTAACAATTTTCCTGTAATATTATTTGGTGGACAGGATATGATAAGAACAGATAGAATAAGAGAGTTGGATAAGGGTAGGATATGATACGGGGCTGATAAGCTTATATCATGTCCTATGTTTGATGAGCACCTGATTAGCAATATGATAATATTATGAAATTTGTTCTCTTCGAGATAACCAAATTCAGAAATTGGGGTTTAGGGTTCTTGTGGAGAAACTTGTTCTGATTAGTAACAATAAATCATGTAATTGGGATTCTTGTGGAGAAACAAGGTGAGGAAACTCAGGGATCTTTTTGCGGAAAGACAAGGAATAATTCTCAGCTCACGAATTCGAAGGAAATTTTAACAAATGAAAAAGATGGAAAATCCTTGGATGATGGAGAGAGAAAAAATTAAGAGTACGAGTTCATGAACCTGCTATATAGATGAATGAAGAGACATTTGAAGCTGAATGCTCTAACCACACCAAACTGGAGCCTCACTCGTAAGAGAAGAAGAGAGAGAGGGAGTTCGACAAGGACAAGGAGGAGGGAGATGGTCAAGAGGGAGGAGTGGATTTGGAAGGGAGGTAGCGTAGGGAATATTGAGTATCCCTAGCTCTCACCATTGGATAAAAAATCATGTATTGGATAGGGTAAAATGAGACAATAGTATAAGTTAATTATATCTTATTGACCCACCAAACAAGAGATAAAAGTAGAATATGATACATTATCCTCTTTATCAAGTGCTCCAAACAGGTCCTATACTTCTATTTCCCATTAATTTGACATACCACCACTATCTGTTAATTAAGAAAAACTATATCCTTGATTATGGCTGAATGATTGTTGGTAAAATTGCTAATTAATTTGTTGGTTAATGTGTGAGCTTGGGTTACAACTTACAAATCAATTTAATTGCAATTGGACGAGAGTAAATAATTTTTCATTTTTTATTTATTAATGGCGCTATTGGGACCTAATTTTACACACGAGCAATTTTGTCAAACTCGAGTTTCTACGTAGAAGCGAAAAGGGTAAAAAATCATGTATTGGATAGGGTAAAATGGGACAATAGGATAAGTTAATTATATCCTATTGACCCACCAAACAAGAGATAAAAGTAGAATATGATACATTATCCTCTTTATCAAGTGCTCCAAACAGGTCCTATACTTCTATTTCCCATTAATTTGACATACCACCACTATCTGTTAATTAAGAAAAACTATATCCTTGATTATGGCTGAATGATTGTTGGTAAAATTGCTAATTAATTTGTTGGTTAATGTGTGAGCTTGGGTTACAACTTACAAATCAATTTAATTGTGATTGGACGAGAGTAAATAATTTTTCATTTTTTATTTATTAATGGCGCTATTGGGACCTAATTTTACACACGAGTAATTTTGTCAAACTCGAGTTTCTACGTAGAAGCGAAAAGGGAGGTAGAAACGTAAAACGTAAATATGACACGAAACGTAAAGTTTCTACTTTCTACTACTTAAGATCAAGATACAAAATTATATATATGCATGTAACAAAAAATCACATAATGAACATGTGTGTTGAGCCACTAATCTATTTAAAAAGGAAAAAAAATTGATAACCAAATATCAAAACTATAAACAGTGATAACTAACAAGTAATAGATAACCAATCTGCTCTAAGTGCTTCATATACTCTGCAGATTTTGGATCATCGTTCATTATAATATAATTTCACTTCTTTCAATGCACATAATGATCTAAAAACACAAAACGATTCTCATAGCATAACTTATAATAGATGCAGCTTTATAAGACATAATTATAAAAGACATATATCCAAACAAAAAGATATCAAGATACTGTGCATATGATTTGGGGAAAACGAAAATTGAGTTTTTTTTTTTAATTTCTTTTTTTGTAAATTTTTTTTTTTTAAAAAAATTGCTTTAAATAAAAACGGTCAAAACAATAAAAACATAAGTTTTTACCATTTTTATGCGGCATTTTTTTACCAATAATAATTTTTACTTGCGTTTTAACACGGACCATTTTAATAAAAACGTAAAAACTAAAACATTTTTATGTTAATTTTTGATAACAATGCACACTAGTAGCCAAATAGTTATTAATTTTTAAATATTTTGTTAAAATAAACCAGATTGATTTTTAAGCCTTCTGTCCCAGGTAAAATGACGGGCAAGAAAAGTAGATAAGGGTTTCGATTTCTTTCGGTTTAAAAAAAAAATTAGGTTTCGGAAGTCATTCACTGGATTTGAAAGGTAGAAAAGGTTTTCAATTTCTTTGAATAAGGAAAAAAATTAGGTTTTATTACAAAAAAAAAAAAAAAATAATTAGGTTTGGGAGGGCATTCACTGCTTTTGGAGCTACGCAAGGTATTTTATTTCTACTTTCATTTTGATTTGAGAAAATACTGAGTTTCAATTCTTAGGTTTTTCACTTTCCGTGTAGATTTGTTAATCTCGAATTCTGGTTTGTGCGAGTAAGATGGGAGGAGTGGTAGAGAATGAGATTGAAGAACCCAACGTGAAGAGAGGAAAACAGAGTGAGAACAATGAAGACAGGCTCAGTGATTTGACTGATTGCGTTCTCATTCACTTGATGTCATTTGTACCAACAAAAGACGCTGTTCGAACTTGCGTGTTGTCGAGAAGATGGAAGGACCTCTGGAAGCGTCTTCCGACGCTCGTTTTACATTACTCACATTTTGGAGCGGTGGCACGTTTAAACAAATTTGTGGCTAGGGTTCTATCTTTCCGTGATGGCTCTGTTCCAGTCCATCATTTTGACATCTATTTTAATGGTCGTGTTCCTCCCCAACATGTGAAAAGGGTTTTGAGATATGCTTTATCGCATAATGTCAAGCAATTAAAACTCTCTTTTGATTGTGATCTCGATTGGCAGCCACCTGGCTTATTTTTCTGTCAGACATTAACATCACTTGATCTTGAGGTCTTCAGCAGATTTAACTCATTTCCAAAATCTCTGAACTTGCCAGCTTTAACAAGTTTGCGTCTTTATAACTTTGTCTTCGGTGACAGTGAATTGCTGGAGCCCTTTTCGTCATGTCCTAAGTTGAAGACTTTGGTCATTGACAATTGTGATGTAAGGGATACACAAACTCTCTGCATTTCAAATGCTACTCTTGTCAATTTGACCGTATGTTCTATTAAAAGACAAGCTTACAGCCTTGTGCTATCAACTCCCAATCTTTGTTCTTTTGTTTTCTCGGGTATTCCTGCTCAGCAAATCTCTGGAAGCCTTCATTCTTTCTCTAGCAGCGTTCTTTCTTTAGTTAAAGAATTAAATATTGATGTCAATGATTGGTTTGTATCAAGTTACTTGGAATTGGAATCAATTATGAGAAAAGGAAATATTAATGTTGGAAAATGGAGAACACCTTACTTGGAAACAGCTTATACCATGAATTGTTGGCTGCATATATTTGCAAACGTAACAACATTAACACTCTCTTCAAGTGCTCTTCAGGTATCTTTATTTAATTTTAACTACATTGTTTATTGTCACTATTCTCTCCTGATGAAATTTCTTACCCTATATTTTTTACACCGCAAACTTGTCATTTAAATGATTCTTATGTTAATATGTCTAATTTACCTCTCGATCGGTAGATTTTCTCCTTAGTCACAGATTGGTTGAATGCTAACACTGCCGCCCCTTGCTTGAGTAACTTGAAGTCATTGATAGTGAAACTGAAGAAGCTTCCCTATCAAAAGCCACGAAAAGCTTCCAAATCAAGGAAAGCACAATTGAAAGCGTCTTCACCTGTACCTGATGGAGTAGTGGATTACCTGATTCAAAACTCCCCATCTGCGGGGATTACTATCATAGATTGGTAAAGGTGATATCTCTCTCTCTTTTAACTTGTTAGCTTGAAGAAAATTTATGAAAGCATCTCTGAAAAGATGGCTGTCAGAAAATACCTCTTAACTCTTTTAATATCTAAGATATTTTCTTTTTTTCCTTGTATCTAATTTAAAACAAATTATTGGCTTTTGACAGTACAAATTTTTATCTTAAGCTGTGAGTATCTATTGCTGTAGGGTAACATATTTTTGGTGATATATGTTTGATGTTCTAGTGCTGTTTTTTATTACATTATTCATTAGATGTCTTAGCTATCATTGTGAAGCTAAGTTTATTCAGTTGTAGGACTTGAGTAGCTCCTGTAAGCTGTGCTAAACAGATAATCTATTTGTGGTGTTGGGAAACTCCAAATGTTTCTGTACTTAGAGTCATGACAAACCATTCGATTTTCATGTTTAGGTGACTACCAATAAAAATTCTGGATATATTAAGAAACAAACCTTTGTAGTGTTTCGTATGTGTCTTTTTTCCACCACCTTTTCTTGAAATGTGATCTTTCCTAAAACTATGGGTAAAGTGATTGGTTGCAATGATTGCTAGGCCCTTCAGAAGAAATTTATGGTTGGGGGAAACAAAGTCTAAGAGGTCACTGATGTTCAAGAGGAAGAAATAATTCTTAGAGCCTGAAGAAACATAGGACATGGTATCTCCTATTAAAAAATAGAAGTGGGTTGGTCTCTAACACCATCAAATATTGACTTTTTAATTTGGGTGCATCCTTAATTGTAGTGTAGATTCAGTGGGGGTTTGTTTCATATGTAACCTTCCAGCTTGGGTGCATCTCACTGCTGATTTGGGATACTTGGGGAGTTATACTTAAGATATGCACGGCATATTTTCTTATAATACATGTTACTGAATAGAAAATTAATGCTAGTGGGCACTTAAAATTTAGTTAACGTGATATGCATCCTTGGTAAATAATTTCTGAGTGGGTTGGTTTGTTCCCATTAGTCATAAATTCATAATGCTTGCATTCATACTTGTAAATAGCCCCGCTTTAGCGTGCTATAGCGGAGTTGCGTTACGGTGCAGTGGCCGGCCGCCACAGACCGCGCCGCTACGTTCAGGTGAAGTGTAGCGGATGTAGCAGCCGCTACTGCGGTTAAAAAGATTTACAACTTAGATACAAGTTAAAGTGAAGGGTCAGCCGCTATAGCAATATGGAGGGTCAGCTACTACGCACTGCTATCCGAGATTAATAAGTATGCTTGCATTCCATGCCTTAAACTGCATTTATTTATTCACTCTCCCGAGTTTCATTGGACATACTTAATGATATTGTTTTTGGTTAAGGAGTTTTCATTGGGAGGTGTTTACTTGGTTAATAAATATCAAATTTAAATTTAATAAAGAAATAAAATTTTCATTTTTTAAAATGTTGCATGACTTTAATGGACGTCTATTGATTTAGGTTCCTTTATTTTCGTCTAATGATTTTTTTGTGTAAGTAATTTATTTTAACTCTTCTCTGATTTTCTTGAATTGCACCTTACTGCAGCCATCGACGTTAATGGTGGTGAAGTTTACATGTCATTTTGAGGACATAAGTGGTGAATATTTGACTGGGGCAGTATTTGGGCGGTGAAATGGGGGTCAGTGTGATTGTCCGAACTGATTGGTTTGCTATGTTTTTTTGAGATATAAGATCTTGGCTTAATTTGTTTGAATTAGTTATTAGACTAGAAGCTAGTTGAAAAATCTGGTGGTGAACTGGGCAGTACTTTGTATGTTTTATTAAATTCTTTTTGGATTTTAAAGATACTAAATGCTTCTACTTTTCATTTTATAGTTTCTATTTTAATTCCTTTCCAGAGTCCTAAAGGCACACATAAACAAGACCCGTATAATTTAAATATGAATTTCAGCCTAAAGGCACACATTTGTTTTCTTTGTTTTTGATTTTCATTAAGGGGAATGCCTTTTCCTACAAATTCCTTATGACTTAATGCTTTTATCAGAATTTTGGAAAATAAATTACGTGTGCGGTGTCCATGCTTTAAACCTCATGCGTGAGGACGTGTATCAGATATATAAATCAATAATTGGGTGTCCATTTAACAACTTATTCCAAGAGATTACAGTTGGAAATATGATGGCAACTGGAAACAGAATACACAAACTCGCTGAACATGACTCTCTGCTACGAAAATAACTGTTATCAGTGTGATATCGGTATTGGGATGAGGATTTGTACAAAAAAATAATTCAAATAGAAAAAGAAAAAGCAGAGATATGTTAGACTGTTCAAGGGGCTTGTTTCCTCCTTTCCACCCTTACAGTTAATACATTCTTGCCTTACTTCCCATCCTCTCTTTTTTTTCTTTTTTTTTCTTTTTTTCTTATTTCACTCTTCAACCGAAATTGCCGTCTGTCACACCTGTAATGTGTCACTGGCCAATTCCCCAAGTTGATCCTCTCTCTTATTTCTATCTTACGCACGACTAGAACACACAAGTAAAGAACAATACTGTTGGATAGTCAGCAGGTTTGAATATGAAATGTCAATACAATATCATTTTCATATTCATAAAGCACTTTACGAAGCATAAGTTCTTCTGCTACCATGTGAAGGAAATGAGAAGGCATCTAAGTCTTGAAATCGTGAGAAATTTGTATGACTGCATCATGCTACATTTTACAATTACTATAGATTTGAGTGTAATTAATCAAAAATTGGGAATAAGAAATTTAATCAAATTGGACACAGCCAAATGACTGCGAAGCATTTGGAGCCTTTATTATTTTTCAATGTACACTATCAATGTGCATCTTTCAACATGCAGAAAATAATACCTTGAACTATCCATAAAAAAACTTATTTAAGGTTTTTTTTTTTAATAAATATGAATAGCTCCCTTTTAAACTAGTGGAGTTTTTTTTATTGGATAACAAGGAAAGATTACAACACAAGGCCAACAAAACAGAAACCTAACTCAGACCATTCTGGGGGAGGCTACTCCCATTTGGTCCCTCAAAAGAAGATGGTTGCACTCCATGGAAGGCCTGTCCAAAATCTCCAACTCCCAAGTCTGAACGTCAGCTACTGCATTGCCCTCTCTATACGTATTAGAAATTTTTACTCTCTAGTCTTTTCTAATCAAGGATTTAATCCTCTTTATCAAAGCGCACAAGGGGTTGCTATCAGTGCACCCTTCCTTCGAGAGCTGTAAGGCTGTAGTAGAGTCACTCTCAATGCAAACTTTTCTAAAGCCTTTATCCCAAGTCAGAGTGAGGCCATGGAATATACCTTTCAATTATGCTATTAGCGCATTTCCATGCCCAGTAAAACACCTGAATCCCACAATCCAGTTACCTCCGTCATCTCGGATCACTCCTCCACACGAGGTGCTGCTTCCGTCCAGGGAGCTCGAGCCATCCGTGTTAATTTTCATCCACCAAAACTTGGGATATTGCCAGTGAATGAAAGCTCCTGTTCTTCTTCTGGGAATAATATTAGCAGCAGCATGCATGTTATCAGCAATGTTAGTACTATCCACAAGGATTCGATCCGGATTAAGGTACAATGGGTATTAGGGGCTTTCCGATTGAAAATGAAGTCATTCCTATCGAGCCAGATGCACCAACAAGTAACTCCAAATCTGATCCGCTTGTGCTCCTCCAAGTTGCCAAAACCCTTACCCAGGTTAACCTCTAGCCACCTATCCAAGGGAAGATTGAAGAAGGAATATGATATATTAGCTCCTAATATAATCCTCCACACTCTGTATGCCCAGACGCAATCCCTGATCAAGTGCAGGCTACTTTCCACCGGTGAGTTACATCTGGGGCAGTTAGCATAGGGCGAAGTATATATCATTTGGCAATTAGCTAGATGTAATTGTGTGAAAACACAATAAGTTAAACAATTAAAGAATACCTTTGTACTTGTTAATGGAGAAAATGGGGAAGTATATATAATTTCATTCACCATCTTGTAAAAGAGTTTTGAAATTGTGTCAATCATATTTATATCACAAAGGATCCCACTTAGTGGGAACTTTAACTTGATAATTGTTACTCATGTATATCAAAAAGCGAAACAAATAATATGAAGCTGGTGGTTTGAAGAGTCATGAGGAAAGACAACATCTTTTTTCTCAAGTCTCCTTAACGCTATTTGAGATATTATTCAAGGGCAATAAAAAATTGACTAGTAATCAATGCTATTTATCTTCCTCTTATGTTTGTTTATATAAAAAAAAATGGAAATAGTTTGTGCTTAAGATTCTAGCTTAACATACCAATAATATGAGAGACTCTGGGACATTGCATTGTTCAATTATCCTCAAAGTTTAAGTCAAGCAAAAAAGTTAGGCCTTTGTTTTCCGTTAACAATTTAAAACATGCTAGAGCGATCATATCTTGCATAATTAAATAACTTATTATCCTTTTCAATAATTTTATATATGAAAATTATTTATTAATTTTAAGATCCAAATAATTTTTTGAGTAAATATCATTTTTGGTCCCCAGCAAATTTTACGATGCCTACTTTAGTCCTTACAAAATAAAAAGGCCCATTGTGGTCCCTAAGAAATTCAAAGTTGACCTATTTAGTTGAAATCGTGGTCCCTCACAAATTTAAAAAAGACCCATATTAGTCCCTAAAAGAACTAAAATGGGTCTATTTTGAATTTCTTAAGGACCACGATGAGCCTTTTTATTTGCTAGGGACTAAAGCGGGTATTGTGAAATTCGTTGATGACCAAAAATGATATTTACTCTAATTTTTTTACACAATGTAGTTTATTCAAACAAAAAATAATTTTAACATATATACAAAGTGTTACTAAAAAAGCCATAAAATTTCTTTTTTCAAAAGCAGATCCGGGCTCTTAAAAATTTCTATTTCTTATGCTTTTCAAATGTGAATGCAGGTTAACGTGTGAACTTGTTATAATTACGTCTTCTGTAGGTTTATAAGTTGGTTAATCACTTAATTGCTCGAGAAGAGAGGAACAAATAACACATGCAGTTTAATTTTTTATAACGGGGTCCAATAATTAGAAGGGATAAGTTATTTTACTTATTTTTTTTTTTATCTTTGCCTATAATTTTTCAACACTGTTAGATTTGAATTTAAATTATATTTATTATTTCTCTCCTATTTAGATTCTCATCTAACGGATTTGGAGAGTAGTAAAAAAAATAGGCAAAAAAATATATAAAAAAGTAGATAGAATAATTTATGGGTTCGTTTTTTCTACAGAGAATGTAGATAACTTATCTACAGTGAGTCCAAAACGACGTCGTTTTGAGGCTGAAATCAAGATATTTTTGTAATTATAATTTATTTCAGAATTATAATAGTCTTTTCCATTGTAATTTTTTAATTTTTGAATTTAAAACGATGTCATTTTGGGAGCGAATATAGATAACTTATCTACCTTCACTTTAGAAACATTAGAGCAATAATTTATCCATGATTATAATTATTTTTATTTTTTATTTTTATTTTTTGAAAATATCTCACTTCGACTAAAACGACAGTCTAAAGACACTAAGGCAGTGTTTGGTTCGACGCTTCTCAACATTTTCCTAGCAAAGTGAAAGCCGGTTTCTTCCTTCTCCACGTTTGTTAAACGGATTTGGTTTGTCTTCCCCATCAATGCCTGATGTGTAGCAATCCTGCGCAACAAATGAAAGCCGGAAATGAACAGTGTTTTGCAACCCTTCTGTGAAGGTGGTTTTGTGAAGAAAGCGAGAAAACAAAATTAGGTTTTGGAGGGCATTCGGTCGGTTTGGATAGACGCAAGGTATATTCTATTTCTACTTCCATTTTGATTTGAGAAATCAGGGTTTCCATTCTTAGGTTTTTCACTTTCCGTGTAGATTTGTTAATCTCAAATGCTTGTTCGTGTGAGTGTTAGAGAAGGAAGGTGAAGAACCCAATATGAAGAGAGCAAAGCTGAGCGAGAACAATGAAGACAGGCTCAGTGATTTGCCGGATTGCGTTCTCATTCACTTAATGTCGTTTCTGCCAACCCAAGTTGCTGTTCAAACTTGCATCTTGTCGAGGAGATGGAAGGGTCTCTGGAAACGTCTTCCTACGCTTATATTACATTACAGGCACTTTTCATCAATGACCTCTTTCAACCGATTTGTGCCTAAGGTTCTGTCTTTCCGTGATGACTCTGTTCCACTCCAACATCTTGAATTCAATTATAATGGCCGTGTTCGTCCCCATCTTCTGAAAAGGGTTCTGAGATATGCTTTATCTTATGATATCCAGCAGTTAAAACTCACTTATAATTGTGATCTTGATTTGCCACCTTCCTTGTTTTTGTGTCAGACTTTAACATCTCTTGATCTCACAGTTTTTCACAGATCTCAGTCATTTCCCAAATCTCTAAATCTGACAGCTTTAACAAGTTTGAGTCTTTATAAATTCACCTTTGGTCACAGTGAATTGGTGGAGCCATTTTCGTCATGTATTAAGTTGAAGACTTTGGTTATTCACAACTGTGCTATAGGGGATACCCAAATCCTATGCATTTCAAATGCTACACTTGTCAATTTGGACATACGTTCTTACCAAGCTTACAAAATTGTGCTATCAACTCCCAATCTTTGTTCTTTTGCTTTCTCGGGTATTCCCAATAAGCATATCTCTGCAAGCAATCTTTCTTCTATTAAAGAAGTAAATATTGATGCTGATCAATGGGCTGCTTTGTGTCACTCGCGTTCAGGTTTTATCCTATTTAGCTGGCTGCAACTATTTGCTAACGTGAGATCATTGACACTCTATTCAAGTACTCTTCAGGTATCTTCATTTCGTTAAAAGCACGTTATTTCTTGTTTTTCTATTAGGATGCATTTTCTGAGTCAAAATTTTTGCCAGACCTCAATCTTGTCATTTAAAAGATTCTTATGTTAATATGTCTTATTGACCCCTCATTGTGTAGGTTCTCTCCTCCATCCCAGATTTATTGAATACTGAAGCCCCTTGCTTCGGTAACTTGAAGTCATTGATAGTGAAAGTGAAAAACATATTGCCTCCAAATCAAAGGCCGGGAAGAATTTACAAATCAAAGAAAGCAGAATTGAAACCTGTGCCTGACGGAGTAGTGGATTACTTGATTCGAAACTCCCCATTTGCAGAGATTACTATCATAAATTGCTGAAGGTGATACGCACATTTAAATCTTTGAATAGATATTCATATCTTTCCTTTTTTCTCTGTTTCTACTCGACCCCCCCACACAAAAAAAAAAAACACACACACACATGACACAACCCCCCCAAAATCTTGTTAGTTATTGCAACAAATTATGGATTTGTTTATCGTGATATTTGCCTAAGAAAATTTAAGAAAACATCTCTGCAAAAAAATGATTTCCAGAAAACTACCTGTTGACATTTTTGATGCCTATATTGGAGTAAAAACAATTCCATTGTAATATTTTTAGATTGTTAGCTTATTAAGCTGGTGCGGAGCTACTATACGATCTCCTGGATTAGTGTTCTTTCATCTCGTAGTTAGGTGGTTAAGCCCATGTGGCTTCTATTATAACTTTCAGAACAGTTACAACTGAGTTTAGCTAGCTGGTTTAGATTGTAGCTTAGTTTGCAAGCTGAGTGTATGCCTAGAAATACAAATTCAGTTATTCAGATCTGTATGTTAATCAGTATAAAAAACTCTCAAGTTTCATTTTCTATCCTTTTTCGATCTCTCTGTGTCTCTTACTTTACTTGTGTCCCAAATCTCTAAATTTGACGGTTTAACAAGTTTGCATCTTGGGAGCTTTGCATTTCTTGGAAATGACAATAACCTAGTGGAGCCCTTTTCTTTTTGTATTAAGCTGAAGACTTTGGTCATTGTCCATTGATTTAGGGGGGTGGTCACATATCCTTTGCATTTCCAATGCCATGCTTGCCAATTTGACCATACATGCATCCCCCGTTTATCAGAAAGATTTTTTTTTACTAAGTAATGCTATTTACTCGAACCTTTGTTCTTTGATTTTTTGGATGTTCCTGCTCTGCAAGCAATCTATCTTTCCATAAAGAAGTAAATATCAATGTTGATGACAGGGCATGTTGCTTGCAGTCAACTTCCGTCATAATTAGCTGCCTGCAAGTGCTTGCTAATGTAAGATCATTGACGCTCTCTCCATGTACTCTTCAGGTGTTTCGTTAAAAGGTTTTAAGCGTATAATTGTCGTTCTTGCTTAGATGCATTTTTGTGCCAAATTTTTTACAGCTCAATTTTGATTAAAAATACAAAATTCTCAAGTTAACGTCTCTAATTGATGCCTCGTTGCGTAGGTTCTCTCCTTAGTCACAGATTTACTGAATATTGAACCCCCTTGCTTGGGTAATTTGAAGTCATTGATAGTGAAAGTGAAACCTCTACCTCCCAAGCCAAGAAAAGCTGCCAAGTCAAGGAAAGCAGAATTCAACACTTGTAACTGATGGAGTGGTGGACTACTTGGTTGGAAAATCCCCTCTGGGTGAGGTTACAAACTTACAATCGTAAATTGTAAAGGTGCTATGCACATTTAAGTTTGACTTTTAAAATAAAGATTCATATTGTTGTTATTTTTTTCTTGCTTTCTCTGTTTCACTTTTCCTCACCGTATGTTTTAGTTGTTACAATCAATGGGTGAATTATTATTTTGTTTGCAATATTAGCTTATTAAAATACTTGTGAATAAAGCATACTATTAACGTTGGCTGTCTGAATTATACCTCAGCTTCTCTGAGACTCTGACTAACATGAAATTCAAGCTTAACTTATGCTTTCTAGCAAGACTGGGAAATACTGTTCCTTATATTAGTTTATTCACTTCAAAAGGAATCTATAGGTTGCTGGAACAAATCTGAATATTGATTTTAATGAAGACTGATGGGCAGAAGCAAAAGACATAAAATAGTTAGATTTGATGAAACACTGTACATGGATTGTTCTTTATACAATGAAATTAGGCATCATCTTGAAATGAAACAATTAATGGCGTGCATGTTGAATTACCTTTCCAATTGATTATATGATTTGGCGAGCCAATAAGCAATTGCCAATGGAAAATGCTGAAATAACAGCTAATAGTAGCTTGCTTTCCATTTGTATTTCAGTATTCATTTTATTATTTTATATAGCAGTACTTTGTATATTGTATCAAAGCCTCTTACGTTAAGTTGTTAGGAGTTTAATACTTATTGACCACATTCTTCATGTTCAACAATTAAAATTTGATTTTTGTTTACCAGTGTTCTTAAGACACATGTTATTAAGCATTTTTTACTCTTCATTAAATCACACTATTTTTTTAAAGAAAATTTATTTAATGCATTTTGGATTTTTAAGATACTAAATGCTACTTTTCATTTAATTGTTTCTATTTTAATTCCTTAACCAGTGTCCTAAAGGCACTCATTTACAAAACCAGTATAATTTTAATATTAATTTCAGCATAAACAGATGGATTGGCTAGCCTTGCTCCATTGTTTTTTCTTTGTTTTCCATTTTCTTTGTACATTCTTTGTTTTTTTTTTTTCATTAAGGAAGATGCCTCTTCCTACAAAATCCTATAATCTTCTTAATGCTTTTATCAAAATTTAAAAAAATAAATAAATTTCAGCATAAGTTAAAATGTACTTGTGCGCTGTCCATGCTTTAAACTTCAAGCAAGAGGAGGTATATTAGATATATAAAAACATGGGCCTGGTTTAACTTACAAACTTTTCGTTTATAAATTCAACTATGTATGGTGTATTTCCCTTTTGTAAGTATAACTCTCCTTTAAAAACATTGTTACGTGTCCGTTTAACAACTTATCTCCATCCAGGTGAAAACATGATGGCATCTGTTAAGAGCATATACAAATTGGCTGAATATGACTCTCTTCTACACAAAGTACTGTTATCATTGTGACATCAGTATTCCGATGAGGATTTGTAAAAAAATTCATTCAAACAGAAAAAGAATAAACCGAGACATGTTAGACTGCTCAAGAGAAACTTAGTTAACACATTATTGCCTCACTTCCCCCTCCTTTTTTTTTTTTTCTTTTTTCTTTTCCTTATTCCACTCTTCAACTGAAATTCCCATCGGTCTCATTCCCTTCATTGCACACGACTGGAACACACAAGTAAAGAACAATGCTGTTGGATTGCAGAGTCTTGAAATCATGAGAAATTTGGATGACTGCATAATATTACATTTATTTTAGGGGGGAAATACCTATTACGTTGCAGATTTAAAAATAATTATAGATCCCAACTTAAATTTTCTAATCATGCTATGGGATTCATATATTTAACAATAACGTGTCATTCATGGTCTCATTCTATCCATTCGACCAAAAGTGAACTTCCAAAGGCCAAAATATAAATAAGAAGCTCCTCGTCCTTAGAATTTGATTCAAGTTCGATATTTTCTACAACAGATTTGAGTATATTTAACCAAAAATAAGGTATTCTGAACTAATATTAGACGCCCAAGCATAAAAGGCACAATCCTCAATAGTTCAGGACCAAAGGATCTTAACCTTAAAAAAAGTAACCAAAACTGTCATGGTGGTTCCAATTAAATACGCAACCTATGATTAGGGGTTTGTAAAAGAATAAAAAAATTGAATTAAACTGTAAACTGAATTGAACTGAATTGCGCTTAAAATAACTTATTTTTAAAAATAAGTTCAAGAACCAAACTGGTTTCAAACCGAATTGAACCATTTTATTACTTTATTTTTTTAATTTTTTCTTTTCTTTTCAAAATAGGTTCGACCCGAATTGATTCTGAACTCAACTGAACCGTTTTTGAACCGAAGTGAACCGTTTAAACTAATTCGGTTCAGTTCTTCAAAAGATTCAGTTCAATTCGATTCACGCACACCCCTACCTATGATTAAACAGTTGCACAACATTAGTATTTCGGTTAGGATTTAGGAGCATCTCCGAAATGACTAGCCAATGACAATATTACGTAAAGATTACTCAAGCACGACTATACATGTAACGCACGAGAAGACTTTCGGTACAACGGGTGTACCTTCACCCAGAGGCGGATCTAGGTATTAGAGAAGGGGGGCAAGTGCCCACCCTTAAAATATGATGTAAAAATACGAAAATACCCTTAACTTAAAATTCAAATTTTTCCAATTTAATTTTGGGGTAGGATATTGTAACAACCAATTAGGGTTACTATTAATGTTACTACCGATCAATTTCACTGTTAGATCAATTATGTTGATCCAATGGTTATATTTATTTTCATCTATGTATGATTATGATTCTCCATATTTAATACTTTATATTTATTTTCACCTTTGTATGGTTATAATTTCCCATATTTAATGCTTTTACATTAAATATGGGGATCATAACCATACAAAGATGAAAATAAATATAATCTTTGATCAACATAATTGATCTAACGGTAAAATTGATTGGTAGTAACATTGGTAGTAACCCTAGTTGGTTGTTACGATATCCTACCCCTTTAATTTCCCTCGTTTTATTTTATTTTCTCGTGAGTTTTTTTTCTCCTCCACCTTCATTATCCAAACCTAACAGCATAGAGCTCTATTTCAGACACATTGTTTGCATCTACATATTGATTCATCTCCTCTCAAATCTCAATCTCCGTTTTTGAAAGTTGAAACATTTGTTTCTTCCTCTATTATTGATCTAGTTGAGTCGCACTCCATTCATATCTAGATCTAAATCAGACCCAGCCAGCCGGCAGCTGCTTGCAAGTCGCGTTCAAGACCAGACCCAGATTTATATGTACTTGAACTTATTGAGTGCCCACCCTTCATTAATTTTCTGGATTCGCCAGTGCCTTCATCCTGACTAAATGAGGAAAGTTTTCGAACTTGGAGGGGATTATAAAAAAAACAAGGGTTAAAATAGGGAAATTTTTTTGTACCCATTTTAGTAAACTGGTGTACCGAATTCAGTACACCCGTGATATTAAATTTTTTTCCGTAGCGCACAATAAGCACTTGGCGAGTACACAAGTAGGTCAAAACTGCAAGATTTATAATCACCACTCACAAAAAGACAATGACACAAACTTTTGAGTAGGTCATATATATATATATATATATATATATATATATATATATATATATATATAGGGCATGATATTCTTATATCGGTGTAAGAGTTAGAAGTCTTACACTCAATCTTGATCATTGATCCACTTGTATCCAATGGTTCACATCACTAAAAAATTTGAGCCCTTAGATACAAGTGAGATCAACGGACAAGATTAAGAGTATAACTTACACTGGTATAAAATAATCCTGACTCATATATATATATATATATATATATATATATATATATATATATATATATATAGAGAAAAAGAAATTGTAATATCCGAGGAAAATAATAGTAATTTATAATACAATAAATTAATAATAGTAATAAACTATAAATTAGTAGTAATAATAATAATGTGTGTGTGTATATTTAGGATTAGATGATAAATCGTGATTTTTTGAATTATTAATTGATTGGTCACTTATGCATTAATGTTTGATTAGTAATTTGATTAGATATGATGATTCAGTAATGAGTTAGTAATATTCTAAGCCATAAGAAATTAAGAATAAAAAGAAAATAGTGTATGAAGTCAATATCTGAGTCAAATACATCAATGAAGAATAAGGAAATAATTGCACGAAACTCATATCCGAGCCCAAAACTTCAACTATAAATAAAGGTCTAGCATAACTAAACCAATTAACTTTTCAACATTTCTCCTCTACTCTTCTTCTCCTCTACTCTCTCTTTCTCTCTCTCTCTCTCCTTATTTCAAATTTTATTTTATGTTATTTTATCTTCCTTTGGTTACCAACCGCTTCTCTTCCCCAAATTCTAGAAGGTAGCAAACACGGAGACCAGTTAATCTTAATTCCTATAGAGTCATATGGTGGCTTGATATGAATTTTGGTTTGATGTAATCATAATCCCTAGGTGTTCTTAGGTTAGTTTTGTGTGAACATTTTTTTATATATAGGTAATTTTTAAATTTAAGTCACTATATGTGATAATTAGAATATTTTAGAATAATTTATTATTTTTGAAATTATGGTTTTGTGCGATATATGAGTCTTATGATTATGATATGATATATGAATAATTTTGGAAACTATGATTATGATATGACAATTGATTATGTACATGGATCTTATTGAATAATTTTACAAATTATGAAATTATGATGCTTTTAAGGAAACTTTATGAATAAGAGATTTATGATTGAATTAAAATTATGTGTGATTGTGATTAATTAATAGTGGAAGGATAGCTTTGGGATGGTACCTCGTAAAGTGATGAACACAACCTTTGGGCTTTATGTCTCTGATATATTTATACGATGTGAACATGCCTCCGATATATTTATATGATGTGAACAAAGATTATTCGTTCTTCTCAAAGTAGTACCTAACAAGATATCCGTGATACTAGTAGCAATTTTGGGAAGACGTGTGCACACTAGGAAGAGATATTTTTGATAATGGACAAATTGTTGATATGTGACTGGCAGATATCCGGGTCACAGGGTAGACTGGTATGATCTTCGGGTCTACCATGGTTCTCTTCCCACTAAATACACTAAATGAACTTAAACATGATTAACA